CTTTAAAATAAAATAAAAAAAGAATGAACAAAGTCAGCTATTGAACACTAAGTTGACTACAGTTCTTCAATCTTAAAATGAAAGAACTGCAAACAAATCCTGAAATGCTACTTGAAAGGCTGCCCATTCCTGGTCTTCTTGACAGGCTGATCAGTGATATTACCAATAATGGGACAAAATATTATGTTTCTCTTAATAAGATGCTTTGAGGACACGATGTCATATTTCCAATATGCCTGTCCCAAACAAAACAAACAAATGGAGTCAAATGAGTTGGCCCAGACAGCCCCAAACTGATGGCACTTTTAAAAGAATTGAATCGTAGGGTCTGAAGGTGTAGCTCAGTAGTACAGCACTTACCTAGCACATGCAGTCATAGGTTCCATCCCAACACTGAAAAAAATTGAATTATTGGTATTCTTTACAAATGACCATGTTATTAAGGACAAAGGAAAACTGAGGACCTCATACAGGTTAAAGGGTTCTAAATATGACCTTAAAGCTAAATGCAATATGTGATCCCGGATTAGATACTGAACTGGAAAAGTTCTTCTAATGAACATTACTTGAAAGACTAGTAAAATTAGACTATGAACTGGGCATGGTGGTGCAGGCCTGTAATTCCAGCACTGGGAGCTGAGGCAGAAAGGTCACAATTTGGAGCCCAGCCCAGAAAACTAAGCAATGTAGTGAAACCGTCTCCAAATAAAAAGCAGCCAGGGTGTAGCCCAGTGGGAAAGCCTTGGGTTCAACCCCTAATAATGTGAAAAAGAAAGAGAGAATGAAAGAAAGGGAGAGACAGAAAATTGAGTATGACATATAGAATATATAATAAGCCAGGTGTGGTGGTGCACACCAGTAATCCCAGGACTAGGGAGGCTGAGGCAGGAGGATTGTTGCAAGTTTGAGACCAGCCTGGGCTACAAAGTGAGCTCAAGGCCAGCCTGAACTGTATAGCAAGATGCTGTTCCAAAAAGGCATAAAACAAACAAACAAATAGAATATATAATATAACACTGTAATAATGTTAAATTTCCTAATTTTTGTATTTATATTGTGATTATGTAGTATAACATTTTCTTAAGAAATACACACTGAAGTATTTAGAAGTAAAAGGACATCATGTCTGTGACTTACACTCAAATGACTAAGAAAAAAATGTAAAATTTGTACACACACACACGTGCATGCACACGCATGCACACATACAAGGAGTGACACAAATGTGGCAAAATGTCAATAAGAGCATAATGTGGGTGAAGGCTATAGGAATTATTTGTACACTTTTCCCAGTTTTTCTGTAAGTTCAAAATTATTCCAAAAAAGTTTGTTTTTTTAAAAATATATGCTCTAGCTGGGCGTGGTGGTGCAAGGGTGTAATGCCAGTGTTCAGGAAGGAGAGGCAGAAGGATTGCCGTGAGTTCAGGGCCAGCCTGGGCTACAGAGTGAGTTTAAGGCCAGCTTGAACTATATAGCAAGACCCTGCCTCAAATAATTAAATAATAAAAGTTTAGAGGCCAGCCTGGGCTACACAGTGAGTTTAAGGCCAGCTTGAACTATGTAGCAAGACCCTGCCTCAAATAATTAAATAATAAAAATTTAAAATGTGCTTTAGTTTCTTCCCTGACATTTTTATTTCCCCTTTCCTGCTTATTCTCAATCTGGGGTTTTTATTGGTGGAGCGTTTATGTAGCCTCGAGCTTTACAGGTGAAGTGACATGACAGGATGAAGAGGAAACAGGGCTGCTCCTTCTGGTACAGTCACTGCCCGATAAGGGCTGTGGCTCCAGGTTTGTCTCACCTCCTAAAAAGAATGGGGAGCATTTCAGTCCCCTCTTGTCATCAGTGTTTTAGTCACTGTAACTGGGAGGAAAGGCAGAATAGCAAACAGTAGCGAGAGGGAAGTGCATCCATACTGGACATCCCTGCCTTTCTTAAAAAGGCCAGGCTATGCAAAGGTGTGTGGGACCCTAATATAAATGGGTCTAACATGATAGCCTGAGATGATTCCTTTATTTAAGTGCTTTGCATTGGACCACGGTCTGGTTAAATTTCTTTAATATCCAGAATAATGCTAGCACAATACAAATGCTTTGCTGTAATACCAATATTTACAGTAGACAAGTGGATAGTCCAGTCCGGAGGTGTAGATACAGATGTTACAATTACAAAGAGGCGATGTCAGCATCGTCTTTAACAGGCATTCACTCAGAGGAGTACTGACAAAATACTTTGTGTAACCAAAAATTACTCAGAAAATAAAGATTCCATGACAAGCTATCAAATTCACAGCCATTGTTAGCAACGCGACAGCATCCACTAGGTAATAAGCCACAGCTGTACGCAGTGCCCATTGGCAGTGTTTGGGAGGCGGAGAATAGGAGGCCTAAGCCCTGACATCAGCTCATGCCCCACCCACCACTCACTGGTCCCTGTAGTTTACAATTTCATCTGTTCATTCTGAGGCTTCCACTCGAGACTCTACTCTAGAAAAGTCTAGTTTCTTCTAGTAACTCTGGGTGTTTGTTTGTCTATGTTAAGGGTCATGGGTAGTCTATAAAACTGATGGTCTTCCAAAGGCAATGATAAAGAAGGAACATAGTCCTTTTCATTAATTTCACAAAAGATGAGCAAAGTTGTAGAGTGTGAAGTGTGCCCCAGCAGCACCCCGACCCCATTCTAGTGGTGGGCTCTTTTGTTTGAACGAGCAAATCTCTTTACTGTGAGCACTGAGTGGTCAACATTACAGTGAGATTCTCATGGAGGGATCTTCATTTTTGTCAGAGTCAACACCTTAGCTGAATCCACTGTTTTTGTTCACTTAGAGCTGGAGGAGCAGGTTTGCCCATGAGGCCACACCCGGTTGATATCACGCAGGCCCAAGTGCCTCTCTGTCCTGGAGAGCCAAGCCAATTAATATTTTCAGCCACATTCTTGGCAGGTGTCAACTTGCCCTTCAAAAAGTTTCAGCAGCTGTGGTGCTTCCTACAGGTTTCACCCCAGAGTCAGGTCTCTGCCGGCCTGGGAGAGGGGCCTGAGCGGGCCAGCTGGGGCCTGCCCATGATTCTCCTCCCTCAGCCTGCTGGGTACAGCCCATAAGCAGCTTACCCTGCTCCTCGGGGGTGAGTGGAATCTCTTCTGTACTCGGGTACACTCCTAATTCCCAGGACAGCACAGCCAGCTCTCTCCATCCCCTCAGCAAATGAGACTGAAAAAGAACTGGCCTACATTAAGCAACTTGAAGTCGAGATTTTAAAACGCTGCTGTAGATGTAATCACCAGGTTAAAGGTTGAGCTTCTCACAGGAGTGTCCATCCTTCAATTCCTGGGCCTGTACCATTGTACTGCTTTCTTTGTGGATCTTTCATTAATTTTACACAGGATTTCACAGCTTCAATTTCTTGCACCTTGGTTTATTTCCAGAATCACCAAAGAGGCATCGTGAGCCAGGTGTGGTGACACACACTTGTAATCCTAGCACTCAAGGCTGAGGCAGGAGGATCACTGTGAGCTCAAGGTTAGCCTGTGCTACAAAGTGAGTTCATGGCCAGCCTGAACTGCAGAGTGAAACCCTGTCTCAAAAAGACCAAAAAAAAAAAAAGCATCTCAGATACTGGTTGTTTATATATACTTAGAGATTTCAACTAGATTTGGTTTTTAATGATCCCAGTGCCTAGTGTATGCTGATAACTTTAAATTGGGTGCGTTATTATGAGCTGTATTTTCTTTCTAAAGATGGAGAATGCTTTTGTTCCTTTGTTTCTGTGGTGCTGAGGACTGAACTCGGGCCTTGGACATGGAAGGAAACAGCGCTCACAGCTGGGCTACGTCCCAGGCTGAGGCTTCTGTTGCTAAAGACCACAGCCCGCGTCACTGGACCCGCAGTTGTGCTTTCCTGGGCTGCGCATCTTCTTGACTGAATTCGGACAGGAATGAAATGTCAGTCATTTCTAATATCTGAAGGACCTATTAAAAAGGAGAAAGCCTTCCTCTTCTGTTTGCCCCAAATAGCACTTCTGCCCAAGGGCAGTGCAGTGCCCTGCTTGCACCAGGTGTGCACTGGGGGCTTGGAAGAGAGAAATTAAGGACTTTAAAAGGGCTCTTAAAGAAATTCAAAAGCCTGCATTGAAACGCAATTTGTTTTTCACATTTTGCCTCAGGTTTGCTCTGTGAAGAGATTAGAAAGCAAGCTGTTCAGCGAGGTCAGAGGAGACCTTTACCACCAAAGGGCTGTTCCCCAGCTAGTCCTCCTAAGAAGAGAGGGGCACGAAGTGGAATGCACACTATTTGTTTAGTTAAAAGGGAAAAAAAAAATCCCACTGGTGAAAGAAAAAGTAACTGATTGTGGAGACTTGATCATCTTTGTCAGCAGAAAAAGCCCCATTTCAAGAACTGAGTGTGACAGGGTCTCAGGGTCTCAGGGTCCTTCCAGACCCAGGATTCGGAGTGGAAGGATGGTTCTGTGGAGATCAGGGTACAGGCATTGGCACAATTATAAAAGGAAAGAGCAAGAGCTTCACCTAGATGTAGGGACAGGGAAACATATAGACCACATAATAGCTGTGTGATAAATACTCATCAGTCAATGAAGAAAGATATTCTTAGAAGCCAGTTGAGTATCTCTTGTTAATAGGTGATACTGACTTACTTTCTCCTGGTTCTCATTGGTATAAGACTACGCACATTTTGTGCAAAACTTTTTGACAGGTATCCACAGGGGAAGATTTCCATCTAGTCCCTGCTGTTCCCCACAGAAGGTTAGACAGAAGTCTAAGTCACCGTTCACTGTGACCTAAGTGTGCTTCCAGTGAGCGATCATGAGTCAGACTTACTTCAGTGGCAAACTCCAACGCCACCTGGTGGCCTTGGTCATAGATAAGAATCGTTTGATAGGGCAGACTTACTGCAGACGTGAATCCTTTCTTTTGGCGACAGAAGCCCTTACAATTCTTCAGGGACTATAAACAACAGATGAAGTTTTAAAAACAGGCAAACCAGACTCTAGTCACTATTCTTTGGAAGGGGGTTCTTAACTTTTCAGGGTAGCTTGCTGTTTCCTGGCCAGTACAACTTCTCCTTCACTTTTTTCTTTTTCCATCGGCAGAGAAGCAGCATCTTAAATGTCTTCCTAAAGGTTCTGTTGCAGAGAGCATAGCAGATGGGGTTGACTGTACTGTTGACATAGCACAGCCAATAGCCCAGGTGCCACAGGGTGATCGGGATACACTTATCACAGAAGGTGGAAACCAGGACCATGATGTTATATGGGGTCCATGTAATGATGAAGGCCAGGAGAATGGCACTTAAGGTCTGGGCTGCTTTCCTCTCCTTGACCAGGACCATTCGCTTTCGTTTGGTCATTTGATGGCTGAGGTTGGGATCGAGGCCTTTTGAGGAAGGGTGCTTGGACACTGGGAAGGAGCAGGGCATGATTTTCACTTTGCGACAGCTGTTATTGGTTTCCTGGGTGCCGTCAGCTTTAACTACCAGTCGGAACTTATAGGCCACACATTTCTGACTCTTGAGTCTATGAGCAGCAGCTGGTGACAAGAAGTATTTGGGGGTGTCATAGTCAGGTTTTTCAGTTTGAGCTTTCACAAATGTCTCCTTGGTCTCTTCAGCACTCAGTTCTTCCCTTGGGCTTTCCTTGGCCTGACTCTTGTAGACCACTTGGAAGACAGGGTCAGTGGGGGGCTTGTCCTCATCCTCGGAGGAAGGGCATGAGCTACAGGCAGTGAGCTGCTCTGCTTTGGCCCAGCTGGTGCTCTGGCCAGTGGCTTGGGACGGCTTCCCTGTGGTGGAGGTGCTCCTGCGGGAGGATGGCCAGGAGGCCTGGCTCCTCTCCCTCTGGGCCAGGGCAGGTGGAGGGCAGCTAAAGCAGGACCTGAGCAGAGCCCTGTGAGCTGGCTTTCTCTGCTCAGCTTCAGCCACAGAGTCAGAGCCCTGGAGGTCAGCCAGATCTTTGGTTCGCTTTTCTGTTTCCCGGTAGATTCGGCAGTAAAGAATCGTCATGACGGAAACAGGGATGTAGAAGGCAGCAATGGCTGTGCCAAAAGTGATGGTGGGCTCAGAGAGGAACTGGATCTGACACTCCTCTGGGGGTACTGTCCGCTTCCCAACCAGGTACTGCCAGCAGAGGATTGCTGGCGCCCAGAGGATGAAGGAGATCAACCAGGCCAAGCCAATCATGACGCCAGCCCTCTTTGGGGTTCGCTTGGCCCGATATGTCAGGGGTCTGGTGATGGAGAAGTAACGGTCAAAACTGATCACCAGGAGGTTCATGACAGAGGCGTTGCTGGCCACGTAGTCCAGGGCAAGCCAGAGGTCACAAGCCAGACTCCCCAGAGCCCAGCGTCCCATGAGGATGTAGGTAGTATAGAGGTTCATGGAGAAGATCCCAATGATGAGATCCGCACAGGCCAAGCTGAGCAGGTAATAATTGTTAACTGTCTTGAGCTGACTGTTGACTTGGAAGGAGATCATGACCAAAACATTGCCCACAATTGTGCTCAGGCTGACTACTGCAGTCACTGCTGCGATGGTGATGACTTCCCACAGCCGATGGTGTTCCAAAGGTTGGTGATTTACTGGGGTGCCATTGACACTGGTTGCATTGTGGTAAGATTCCCCTTCCATCCTGGTGCGAGAATTAATTACACTGAAGGTTAAGTCTTAGGTTTTAGTTCTCTGTTCTTTCTCACCTCTTCTTGGTCAGTATCTGGAAGAGAGGGAAACACATTAGGTCCACTCACCAGCGTGCATTTCCTTTCTATCCACTGTTTACTATCTAACAGAATATTAAATGTGGTTACACACATAGAGAAAGATGCTGAAATCTCTAAACTCTTTCTTGTGGGGGTAGGAACTGAACTCAGGACCTCGCGTTTGCCAGGCAGGCTCTTGTACCACTGAGGTATCTTCCCAGCCCCTTCTAAACTCTTGATAACATTTTAATAACAGCATTTATCTTTTGACTTTGTATGATTACCAATGCACAAGCTCCTTGTCCTTGAAACTGTTGCCCTCTTGTGGTGACTTTTTAAAAAGGTCTGAGAAGATGAAGAAAAAGCAAGAAAAATCGGTTTATTGGGAAATAGGGATGTTAAACGACTTGGGTTGCAATGACCTTAAGAGCAGAAACTCTGCTTGTAAGCAACTGGTAATAAATACCTAAGCCACGGTGTACCCAGAGGAAGACAGCCGTGTTTAGTCTGTAGTCCCCATCTGGATTATTGAACTGTAGCGAGGGGCTCTTTGACTGCACTAGGCCACTTTTCCCTGCACAAATGCAAACTCCATGGGTAGACCTGGTTTTTATTGAAGGCCTTTGAAATTTGCCTCATTTGCTGAAAATAATCCTTCCATTCTCAGACTATTTGCAATATCTTTGAACAGTGTTAAGTTACAGTATATTTTTCCCCTGAGGATTATAAAGTAATGTGTCCCTCATACAAGTTCAACCAATGTCAAAATGTAAATTTAGAAAAAAGTCTTTGTTAATTTCATCCTGCTGTCAGGGAATAAATACTATCAGTTTAGAGTGTGTTTTGCCCACTAAAGGTAACTAGAACTATTTATCTTGGTTTTAGAGTTATTGGATGTTGTGTAACAAACAGCACTTTAATTACAAACTTGCAGGCACGTTGCTGTGATGAATGTGAGGCAGAAGTGTCTTTCTGATGACCCTGAAAGCACGCTGTCTGGGCAGCACCTGCTCTGCAGACGGGTCGCCTTAATAGGAATGGACATAAAGATGACAAATGTTTGAAGGGCTCTCAATTGTCTTTGCTTTGTTTTGCATTTTCGCTGTAATTCTGGAAACTGAAGTGATGATATTGTCTTGTACCAGAAGCCAGATTTTGTGCTTGCCTGGGCAGCACATATACTAAAATTGGAATGATACAGAGAAGATTAGCATGGCCCCTGTGCAGAAGCCAGATTTTCCCAACTTTCTGATCTTGCACCCCTATTTATATCCCAAATGGATGTAGTCCAATTTGCCTATGAATTTTCCTTTTTGTCAGTCCCTTTACACTCCTACTGTTTCCACCCTGGTTTTTTTTGGTCTTTTTGAGACAGGGTCTCGCTATGCAGTTCAGGCTGGCCTTTTGCTCACTTTGTAGCCCAGGCTGATCTTGAACTCGCAATGATCCTCCTGCCTCAGCCTCCCAAGTGCTGGAATTACAGGCATGCGCCACCATGCCTGGCTACCACCCTGGTTCAATGCTACTCCTACCTAGGACTTCTCAGCATTATCAACATCCTACAAACTGTTAGAACGAATCCCAAGGACACCGGGTCAGTAGGCAGAGACTCTCCAGTACCCAGAAAGGTCAAAGTCACTCTGTTTTAGAATTCTGTTGGCACCGCCATTGCAGATTGTTTTTTGGTTATCACAGCTAAGCTGTCAGTGCAAGAAAGAGCCTGCAGAAGTCCCCTTCTTATTTCCTACTTCCTTGCTTTCCACAGTACCAGCCTATGGAATGTCTATTAGGTGACAGGCCCCATGGTGGGGACACCGTGGAAGAGTATGTGGAACTGCCCTCAGGACCCTGGTTGGGAGGTGGAGCAGGCCGTGGGGCCCAGGTGAAGGCTGGCCAAACCAGGGCAATGGGGGCAGGGAGGCACCCTTGAGGAAGAGAGCTAAGTCTGCTGAGACTTGAAGAATGAGTGGGCATCAGGTAGATGAAAGGTGAATGGGTCCAACCCAAGGGGAAGAGCTGTTTAGAAATCGAAGCAAAATAGGAAGAAACACAGTGTGCAGCGGAAGAAGATGGAAGGCAATCTGCAGTGTGAGCTGTGACCCTGGGGAAGCAGGACAAGGTAAGGGTGGAAGTGGGGGTGGGGGTGGACTGGCGCCTTGAGAGACAAGGCCACTGCCTGGGAGAGCTGTGTGAGCTATTTTGGGGATTCCTCGTCTGTTCTGAAGGTAACCCCAAAATCTGGATGTTTGGAAATAGTAAAATGATCTGGCTGTTTGTTGCATTTTTCTCTTCAATTCTTCAAAGTAGAAATGTTTTAGAAGGATTTATTTTTTTCTAATTGATTTGGGAATTTTGGATATGTGCATACACTTGTGAATGTATATGTCCAACCTGGGTACTTCATTCATCTGTTTCCTCATATGAAAAAGTAAGAAAATTGGACTATGGGATCCCAAATACCTACATTTCCATGAGTTTGTATTGTAGTTACTATTATATAATGCAATGGTTAATTTTGTGTGTCAACTTGTCTAGGCTGCAGTACCCGGTTGTTTGGCTGAACCTATCCAGATGTTGCCGTGAAGGTATTTTTTAGGTATAGACTACTGTTGAAATGAATAGATTTTGAGTCAAGCAAATGGATTATCCTCCACAGAGTGTGGGAGGGCTTTACCCAAGCTGGTGAAAGCCTTATGGGAGAAAACTGAGGTTCCCCTAAAAGAAGAAGGAGTTTTGTCTCCAAACTGTGTTAGGACTAAAAATGACATCAGCTCCTTAGATGGATTAAAAATTGTGGAATATATATCCAATGAAGCACTATTCAGTCATAAAGAAGGATGTTTTAGTCATTTGTAGGAAAATGGATGGATCTTGAAACTATAATGTTAACTGAAATAAATCAAAAATAAAAGCTTAAATATTATTTTTTATTTGTATTTTTTATTTTTTAATTTTTAATTTTAAAAAATAAAAGAAGGAAAACATAGTAACAGACAGACATCCATTTACAAAATAGCATAAGAATAATACAAACAAATCAGAGTTACAGACAAAGTTGTAGGAAATTAACAATGGTTGTTTTATTACTTATTGATAACTTCAAAGTGCTTTCTCAGGAAAACAAATAGAGACATACAAGATTGATCAAACAAGTAATCATTAACTATTCCTTTTGGTAGGGCAAAATAAGACAGTAGTACAACTATGTTAGCTATCCTGTATATACATACTTACATAATTTCCCCTCCTTTCCCTTCTCTGTTCCCACACCCCAGTTACCCCTTACTTTTGAGCATTTTCCTTTCATTTCACAATGTCTATCATACCTCATAGTTTTTATTCACTCTTTCAGGTCTTGCACTAGTGAGATAATATGATGAAAAGCTTATATATTGCTTGGTTTCTTATATGAGAAATCCAAGATATAAGTAATTTAAAGAGCAGAATAAAGGAGAGTTGATAGGAAATAAGGATCTGGCACTTTTTGGAGAAGGAGATATAAAGAAGGGAGAAAAGGAGGGGAAGTGGGGAAAAAGGATTATATATTATATATAAAATTATATGTTATTATATTATATATTAATATATAATATCCTGGTCATTATATTAATATATAATATATATATCCTGGTCATTTGGGGGATATATCTAGCTTTGGGATATATACATATATATCCCAAAATTAATGTAATTGTTTGTCACAAACATATACTAATAAATTTTTAAAAGATAAAAATATCTTTCCTCTCTCTGTCTCATGAATGGAATGAATATTTTGCAGGGAAATTACCAAATCATATTTCAATGTTAGCTTGAGCTCGGGGTTTAATTCTTTTAAAATGAAGGGTTGGTCTATAGGTAAGTGGATCTCCTCATGGGGTGCTCATTAAAGCCACACTGGACCTTTTGTTTGGTTTTTGGTACCGGGAATCGAACTCAGGACCTAGTACTTGCCAGGCAGGCGCTTGTGCCCCTGAGCTATATCCCCGGCCACACTGGATCTTTTGAAAAGTATTAATATCTGGACCCCACCCTAGGTCTGTGAACCCAGAATCTGTGTGGGAGAAACCTGAATGCCACTTCACTTTCAAATTCCTCAGGTGGTTCTCATGTGAAGTCAAAATGGAAAACCTGTCATACTGGAGCCCCTGCTGCTCAAGGTAAAGTTAATACAGGGTGCTTCTTACGAAGGAATAATCCTGTGACTAAACCAGTGTTTCTCAAAGTGCGACATGCACATAATTTACACACATGCTCTTGTGAAATTGCAGAAGGTCACGGCTTGCAAGTCCACATTTCTAAAAAGTTCAGTACTCTCAATGCTGCTAATGTGTGAGCCACGCTTTTTTTTTTTTTGAGACTGGGTCTTGTTATGTAGTTCAGGCAAGCTTTGAACTTACTATGTATCTCAGGCTGGTCTTGAACTTGCAGTGATCCTCTCGCCTCAGCCTCCCGAGTGCTGGAATTACAGGTGTGCACTACCATGCCTGTCTCAACCACACTTTTACACTGTGAGTCTAAGGATAATTTCTAAACTTCCAGAAAAGAAGCCAAAACTTACCACGCTGTGGTTAAATCAGAATTTTACAATTGAAATGCTCAGTAACATTTGGATCCTTCTCTGCCTTCCAAAGTTTTAAATATTTTCTGTCCTGTTTGGAATTAATGAAACTTCCCAACTTCTTTCTAGCCTTTTCAGTTTTTTTCTGCTTTTTTTTTTTTTTTTTGGTGGGGGATAATTTTTCCTGATTTCTAAGCTGCTGGAAGTAGACAGATCTTTCCATAGACAAAAGCATTTGGGACATGAGGTGGGTTCCATGGCTGAAGGAGTGATTTCTTTATTTGGATCACAATTTAGTGTGGAAGCTGAGTTTCAAGCATGACAGTTTTCCACAGTGAATTTCTCGAATCATTAACAAGTTTCCACTTTTT